TAGCTCAGAGCATAGGAAAATTTTAACTGAGTGGCATGTCGTCCGCCTTGACTGTGGCTTCGGAAGTTTCCACTACTGTGCCGCCACAATTGTGGAACCTTGCCATTCTGGGCTTTTCCGTGTACCTTCTGGGTCTGACGGCTGGCAATCTCTGGCGTTCATACACACAGCAGGAGAGCTCCCAGACAGTCCAGCTTCCTTCAGGCCCCAGAGTGCGTATCAATGTCTATTGATCCACCAGAAGCCGACTGGGCGAGCTTCAAGACACTGGCGGATGTTATCAAGTTTGCTGGTTTGCAGGGAGACACAGCTGACAAGGACACGATAGCTGGCTCTCTCTGCTTTCTTCTGGGTTCGGACGGGTCTGACCACCCGCGTATCTTCGCCTTGATTGCTGAGCCGGATTTTTTGAAGCTGCTGGAAAAATGGAAGGTTCCCGTGATGGCCGCTGGGGCTCTGTCACTGCAGGACCCTACGCCCCGCCAATTCGGACAGGGCGCGCTAGTTGGCAGGACATGCCGTGTGGTGGTGGGCCTTGGTTCTGGACAGGCCAGTCCTTGGCCTACATCCCCTCCGCCTTCTGTCGTGCAAGCTCCGAAAAGGAGAGTGAAATTGAGCAACATTATAAATCAGACAGATGACCTCGAAGTCGACATCCTTGACGATGCTGCAATCACTGCAGCCTACGCGAGGTATACAAAGAAGATTGGTGCGGCACCTCCGCCGGACCAAGAGCTTAGTGCGGAGCAAGAGCTTAGTGCGGAGCAGCTTACAACGCTGCACAGTCTGTTTCAGAGCGGCAGAGCTCCTTACACAGACATGGCTGTCTGGGGCCCTTACCATCACCGCCTGGCGAAGAAGATCAGACTGAAAGGTGTTCGCCTGAACTCAGTGGGCGAGATCGTGCCGGTGGAGATAAACGGGCCACCGGATTTCGAGGCTTGGCGGGAGAGCTATGGAGTGTTCAAGACTGGCTGCATCATGTTTGGTCAGATTTCTCCGGCTGGATTGGACTGCTACGAGCATCACGTCCGGTCTTATCACGAGCGCTACGGCCGAGGCTGCTGGGCACTGCTTTATCAGGCCGATGTTCGGGCCAGGCTAGAACTGTCCGAGAGGTTGCGACGTCAAGGCCAGGAGGAGAAGGATGCGGCCACTGCTGCCGGAGGCACACACGACTACGACGCGAAGACGCCGTGGGAGTGGGTCTGGAACAGGATGGTCAAGGAACACTCGTTTTGGCATCGCGAGCTCGAAGAACCGGCCCTTCTCATTCTTGCGAAGTCACAGAGAACATCGCACCAGGTGGATCAGCGCCTGAGAAGCCCTCATCATCGACTACCACCGCAAAGCGCAGAAGAGATGACAGCGTCAGACAGCATCTGGTTGGAGAAGACGGGATGCTGACGCATAACCGCCGTGGAACTGAGCTGTGCAGAGGGTTTCAGAAGGGCGATTGCAAAGACAAGGACCGCAATGGTTTCTGTGCAAAGACCGGGCGTACACGTCATCAATGCTCGAAGTGTTTGTCTGAAGATCATGGCGCCAACGAGTGCCCACATGGAGCCCCCAAGCAGCCCCGTACCTTCAAGCCGAAGGGGGGGCGAAAAGGTGGGGGCAAAAGCAAGGCCTGAGAGGGGGGAGAAATCCCCCATTTCGAGGGGCGCAGAGCGGGGCGCTCTAGTGACGTGCCTCTCCAAGGCATTGAGGGTGGTGCCTGCGCAAGCGCCAGCCACAGCACAGCTGCCCGGATGGACAGACAACCAGACGCTGCTGCAGAAAGAGGCTGGCGGGGACGCAAACAATATGGCCACACCTCGGAAGCCGATGTTCCTGCGTCTGTTTAGTGGGCCTTCCGGGCGCAAGGATGGTCTGGCTGCCGCCCTCAGGCATTTGGGCAGCAACTGCGAGGACTGGGAAATTGTCAATGGTGACCTCTATGACCTCGCTGACGACGCCACCTACCGGAAGCTCAGGCAACGGATTGCTGATGGCTACTTCGACGGCGGGTTGCTGGGCCCACCTTGCCACACTTTCTCCAACGCCCGAAAGGAGAACGATGGAGGACCTCGACCACTGCGGCGGCCGGGCGATCGCGGCATCTATGGCAGGACCGACTTGACCCCGGAGGAGAAAGAGGATGTGCGGCTTGGGACCTTGTTAGCACTTAGGGCTTTGGATGTTTTTAAGTGCCTTCGTGAACAAGGGAAGCCGGTGATTCTGGAACAGCCGGCGCGTGTCGACGATGAGGAGTCCATCAGCATGCTCAACCTCCCGGAGTTCAAGCAGCTACTTGCCATGATGGAGTCCAGCGCACTCGCCTTGCTCAATGCGGCTATGGGGCGCCATCGGAGAAGCCAACTTCACTGGTTCACTTTGGGGTGATGTTCAAGGATGCCGTCTCCGAATGCAAGCACTCTAAGCGCTGGTGGAGACTTCCAAGCACCGGTGCATGGAGGTTTGCGGCGCACCCGCCGCTGAAAGGCAAAGAGGCCTATGTGCCGGCAGAGCAATGGAGGCCTGACATGTTGCTCAGCGATGGGGCCAGACTGGCGAAATTTCGGCACATGCCCTACCTCACCAAGGCGGCTGCTGCGTACCCTGGAGGCCTGAATGAGTACTTCGCTCACAAGCTGGTGACTGCCCACGGCGATGCAGCCGAGAAACGCTGTGGCTGGAAGCTGACGGGCAGGTGGAAGAACGTGCTAGTCAGGGATGTCCCCGAGCCGTCTCTCGTGAACGCGGGTGTGGTTCCGACATTGACATGGTCGCCAGCTCTGAGGGGAAAACATACACAAGCGGATGCTGACGAAGGCGACTGCTGTCTTGGCGGAATGAGGCATCCGCGCAAAGCCATGGAGACAATCAAAGGCTTCGACCGTGCTGGAAAGGCTGTCTTCGGAATCGTTAACCGCTACTTGGAGGAGAACCCAGACTTGCAGCGACAATGCTTGGCTGCCCTCGGCTCGGATGAGACAGACCTAAGGCCGGACAAGAAACATGTGGATGAGCTGGCCCGACGCCTTGGAGCTTTGTTCAACGCCACCCCGCGTACAGACGGGAACGGTCTGGACTTCGAGCTGCTGGGGGCATGGGGCCGCGCGGCAGGAGACCCCGACGCTTGCTGTGTGGAAGAATGGTTGCGGGGGGGATCTCCGGCCAGGATTTCATCTCACATCCGAGACCCCGGCAACATATTCCCGCCGGACAAGGGGTCGACGGACTCGGCCTGGGCAGATGAGCTGATGCGTGATCCAGCGGATCATGAGAATTATAAATCTGTGGACGCGGACGTCGTGGCCGTCCCAGAAATACACAGACTTATTAATTCGGGCTACGTGAAGACCTTTGAGGATCTTCAATCGTGCACATCGTGGCTGGGTGGCTCACCGTTGACGTCAAAACTTGCAATGGTGAGCAAAGAAAGGGCGGATGGCACCATCAAACGCAGGCTCATACTTGATTGTCGCGAATCAGGAGCCAACCTGTTGGCGCAGAAGGGAGGCCGGGTGCAACTTCCCCGACCAACGGACCTGATCGATGACGCCCTCTTCTTGCTCAGCCGAGCGGCTCAGCCAGAGCCTATTCAAGGCTGACGTGGCTCGGCTTCAGCTGTACGTGGACGATCCCTGCTTTCTCATGGCGGGTCACAAGCCTGCTCGGGACAGGCTTGCTTCCATCTTGATCTGCCTCTGGCTGGCTCTACGCATTCCGCTGGCCTTCGGAAAGGCGTCTCGGGGAACGGACTTTACCTGGATCGGCGTCCACTGCTGCATCAAGGCTGGCAAGGACGGCAAAGTTACCGTCGCTGGCAAGGAGGAGTTGATGCAGGAGATCCTCAAGGCCACCCGGGAGCATATCAGGACCAACGTTATCAGCGTCCGCGACCTTCAGAAGTACGTAGGTAAGGCCAATTACGTGGCGGGCGTGGTGGATACTTGGAGACCATTCCTCACAGACCTCTGGGCCGTCATAAACAGCTGCGGCCCGGACTCGCGCCCGCCAAACTGTGTCTGGACAAGGCAGTGGGCACATGTTACAGCTTGGTTCCTGGCGTGTTTCAAGGGCGAGGCTGGCTCGCTAGTTCGTGAGTACAGGGTGAGCCACTACTTTGGAAAGGCCATCAAGATGAGGATCGTGACTGATGCGTCTCCATGGGGCATCGGTGGCTTACTGGCGATGAACGACACGCCGGTGGAGTACTTCTGCGATGGGCTGAGTGGCTTCGATTTGGAGCTCGCAGACGCAGACCGTGGATCTCCCGACGGTCAACAGGTCTGGGAAGCACTTGCGCTACTTGTGGCGCTGCGGCTTTGGCGCTCGCGTTGGCTCAAGCGAGGCGTGTGCTTGCGCCTCGGATCAGACAGTGTTTCTGCGCTCAGTTTGTTGATCAAACTTCGGGCTAAGCCCAAAGCAAGAGGTTTGGGGCGCATAGCTCGGGAGCTTGCTCTAGATTTCAGCCGATGCAGTTATCGACCAAAATGGTTTGAGCACATCCCAGGGGTTTCAAACGTCATCTCCGACGTACTCAGCAGAAAATATCAGCCGGGGAAATCATTCAGGCTGCCTGCTGCTTTGAAGCACGCTACAGAGACAAGCGTGCCCCCTAGGGACAAGAGTTTTCTTCTCTGCGAGTCGGCCGCAAGCAGTGCGGAGTAGAGGGGGCCGATTCGCTCTCGCCGGCTCGGTTGCATGACAGCTAACGCAGATTTGGGCTGCCGCCCTGCCAAAAGGAGCTTCA